CACACACACACACACACACACACACACACACACACACACACACACACACACAGGGTGGCAGACTCCAGCCTCTAGTGGCTTTATTAGCTCAAATTCAGTTTCCTATGACATCCACTCTGCCACATTACTAAAGGTTGTAACGTGGGAGTATGGTTCAGTTCTCTATCTATGTCTGTCCATCTGTCTGTCTCCCTCTCCCTCTCTTTCTGTCCCGCACCCATGCATGTGCCCACCTGTGCTCCCACACCACACACATACATGTGTGCACATACCATTTCTGTAGAATATTTGGAGAGATACAGGAAAGAACACTATGAGATCCAATTGACTCATATTTAGTTGCCTTTTGATGACTTAGTGTCTCTTGCTAGTCTACTTTGATGGGGGCCCTAATGGCATCTCAGTCACCACTTTAGTCTGTGCAATAGCCTGGCAGGTCCATAACTTTTAGTTCATGTTGTATAATTAATGAATGCAGGCAGAGGTGGTGTTGCCACACTGAGGTCCCAGAGCCCCAACATCTTCCTTGTCCTCAGTTTATTCATTTTAAGAGTCCTGCATGGCATTAACTGTATCCCAGCTTCATCTCATCTGTGGGTCTTTCTAATTCCTAGCTTGTAAGGAAATTTTCTCAGGAGGGAACACTATCTTGGCAGCTTTACTATTCCTGGAAGAGATGCCCTTAGCTAGAATGATGGAGAAAATGTATGGATTTACCTGAATCCTGCACCAATGTTAAAATATGTTATTTTAGGATTGAGTGGAGTGGACCATCAGGTAAAAGCACTTGATTTGTAGGCTGAAGACCTGGGCTCCATCTGTGGAGCCCACATATGGAAGAAGGGAACCAATGCTTGCAAGTTGTTCTCGAATCTCCACACATGGGTGGTGACACAAACACACACAACTAACAATAAATACATGCCATTTTTTCTGAGACAAGGGTTCTCTGTGTAGCCCTGGATGTCCTGGAATTCACTTTGTAGACCAAGATGGCCTTGAACTCACAGAGATCCAACCACCTCTCTGACTCCCCAGTGCTTGGATTAAAGGACTGTACCTCCATTGCCTGGCATAAAGTGTTAATTTTTGTTATGTTGAAAGAAATACAATTTTATGTTAGAAAATTTAGACACTAAAAAATAGTATGAAGAATTATATTATGAAAGTTTAAAAACTAATCCCTCATGGGACAATTTTAATTTTATTTGAATTTAACAAGATAAAAAGAAATAGACGAAATGACATAGTTCTAAATAACATTTATTTGCTGTACCAGAGTTTTCTAGAGGAGTCCAATTACCTCTTTTCCCAGGGAGCCAAGGGTCGAATGTTGGTGAGATGTTTGCTTTAATACCATTCATGCTTACAACTTTTATGTTCCAGTTAGTAAAATCAAGTCACATTTCAGTGGACACCACTTATGTCAGATGAATGAAAAGCTAACATTTAATTTTTCTATACTTAAATACACTACAAAATTATACTGATTATTTTGATTACTCTTCCATGAAAATTAAAAGGTAATATGTGATTTTTAAGATAATAATTTAGGATAATAATTTCAGGATAAAACTTTGGAGAAAGGCATGGAGCACATTATGAAGAAGCTGAGAAATTATGGTAGATTCTTATTTTAACCTTGAGTGCATGTGTGATATCAGAGCATCACTATATCCTCCCATCTTCTGACCTCTTGAACAAGAATTGTTTCAATGAATTTATTTCTGCTAACATATAGCAAACACTTAGCCATATCCAGTTTGTCCCAAAGTCAGACAGAGTTCAATTCATTTTATCTAAACTCTACTGTGGTTTGGATGAAGACTACAGCAGTTGCGGTAGATTAGAAGAGATGCTCAAAAAAGGGGGTGATGCTCAACCTTTTCTTCAGCAAACCTTCAGGGGGCTTTGGAGGCATCATGCAGTAGAGCTATCTTGCTTCGGGGTCAGGAGACTGACTTCCCAGAGTTTAAGTGATACTTAATTTTTTTTAAGGAATCATTAGATCACTAAACTTGTCATGTCTTCTCATTTTTAGTTGCAATGCTCTCTCCATCATCTGGGTCTCATCTACAGTTGTACATGCTATTTATTCCAAACTAAACACTCTTAGTCATCAATATTGATTGGGTCTTAGATAGATGGTGGATGCCGGCTTTTGTTCTTAGCACTTGCATTGTCTTTGACGTATGCTAGACACCAAAGACATTCTAGTATGCTAGTGAATCTTCTACAGTTCTGTGGGTGTGACCTGCTTTGTAGGTTGAGACATGTTGGAATGAAATGAGAGGCTTAGGTAACCATTGGTTCTAGATATGCTGGCAGCAGCAGGTATGTGAGAAGGTTCTGGCCATCATCTCCCTTTCAACTTCACCCTTGCCACTTACAGTTATAAATGGAGGTGAGAAGGTGCTAGCTGGAATCTGGCCGCTGTGTTTTCTTAGGCAAATTGTCCATGCCAATCAGAGTGTGGGCACAGCCTGTGTGCTAAACCTCGGAGAGTGCTTGCCTTTGTGTCTTCACTTTCAACACTAGCTTCTTGTTTTCTAGCAAAGGTTTCGAAGTGTTGCTCAGGTTTCACCCTTTCAACATCTGAATGTCATTCTGCTGGCTAACTGATTCTTTTCCTCTTCTTTTTCATTGGGCGATGACAGGAGAAACTGCTAGGTTTTATTTTTTTCCCCTTAAAGTTCATTTAATAGTCCACTCATAGGAAGCCACATAGCAACCACCCTGTTCTGAAGATTTGGAATTTATTCGATTCACCTTCTCAGATGCCTTATTGAAACTGTCTTTAGAATGTGTCTAAAATGGGTGTTGCATGCTCTGCCGATGGCACCAGCCCTGGAATTTCCACTCAGGTGTTTATTTAATTGTCTCTTCTAATTCTTTCTTCTGACATTCATTTTGAAGTTAACTTTTGCCATTTTGTTGGAGCCCCACTCCACCCCTGCCCCAAACATTTAACTCCCCTCAGCTCAATCCAAGACCAACCCAGAAGTTCCCAGTTTGGCTCTACATCAACGCCAGACGCCACGATATGTTAGTAATGGCTTACGCTTCAGGAGAAGAGTTTTCCTGAGTGCTTTCAGAAATGCAGAGAGAAAAGTGGCAGAGAGCTCATAATTGGGCACTAGTAATTATTTCTGCAAACAGGTGGAAAAAGATTGGGAGGAGAGATGAGAAATTGATTGTTAGAATACAAAATAAATATTTGAAGTGTGGCTGACTGTTTCAGTCTCTCTTGATTTCAGCTGAAGTCTGCACATTTGAACATGGTCCCAAACAAGCATGAAAGAGTCAGTGTCATTCAATAGGAAGGGTAGTCCACTAGAATGGGCTGTTTCTTGGGGCCTTTCTCTGTGTAGACCTGGCTAACTTCACAATGGAGTGCATCTCTATTCATGAAACAGTCCAACCCATTCTTTTAGGTGTGTGGAGAAACTGTTAAGAAGGTATGGATCATGGGCCAGGATTTGTGTTCCTCTCTGTCAGGTTCTATGCTGTAAAATCTACCATTTTAAGTTTAATTTGTTGGAGAGAAGGTCTTAGGCAGCATAGACTGGACTTAAATTAGTCATATAGTGGAAAATGACTTGAACTGTCAGTCTTCTTGACTCCACCTCTGAGTGCTGGGATTATAAACATGCACCATCATACCACCATGGTCAGTTATATACAGTCTGGGAATTGAACCCATGGCTTTGTGAATGCTAGAAAAGCCATTCCTATCAACAAAACCACATCCTCAGCTCTACAATATAACACTTCATGACAAACTTGGGTGACTCGCTTCTCCTCTGTATGTAGTTTCTTTGCAAAATCAATGGTAGATGCTTCTCTGAATATTGCTCTATTTTGCTATCACTATAGTAAAATATTTTTACAATAGCATTACACAGAGGCTTTGGAATCATGAGTAGACAGCATCTTAGAAGTAATCTTGTCTGCTTTCCTTGCTCAGTTAGGCTCTGCTTAAAAATAATGTTATTTCTCAAAATTCTGTGGGTTGGCTCAACAGCCTCTCCTTTGCTTTCCTTGGACTTGATCATGTCACTGCTTTCAGCTGGAGAAGCAACAGGGATGGAAAGACCCAGGATGGCCTTACTCACTGCTTCAGAAGCTGATGTTGGCTCTTGGTTGGAGGGCCCTTGTTGTCTTCCATATGCCCTTTCATCTTCTAGTAGTTTGGACCAGATTTCTTATGCAGCAGACTCAGTGTAGCATCCAAAGTGGAGGAAACAGTAATACCTCTTCAGACCTAGTCTCAGAAGTCACCAAAGTCACCTCTGATGCATTCTATTGGACAAAGTCAATCATGAAACCTATCCAGATGCACAGTAATGGGAAGTGGACTCCATCTGTACTCTGATGGAAGATTAACCAATTCATGCTGCAAATGGGGCATTTGAGGAGAAAACCATGTTGATTATCTTCACCAGGCATCTAGCATCCTTCCTAGCCAGACCAACAAAATCTGAGTTATAGAGAAATCATTCAAATAAGCTAAGGACAAGCTCATGATGAAAACCAAGCTATCTGAACTCACTTAATCTAGGTCCATGCTCACTGTAACATACTGTTCTAGAAACCATTTTCATTTTATTGATCTAGTGTAGTAAACATTCACCATATTCTGTATTCAGCAAATTTCTGGGCATTTTGGTGCCCTCAAAGATGAATAGAGTGAATACCCTTTGCTTCAAGTCCTCTACAATCTATCCTCATTGTGGCATTCACAGGGGGTCAAATAACCGAGTTGAACAGGGCTCTAGCTTATCTTTGTATTTTATATATAATATGTGTCCTATGTGGAAGCCCCTTCTTATCATGAGGTCAATGGGTATCGCCATATATCTTTACTGGGACAACTGAGGCTCTTTTCCACTTTCTACACTCTCCACAGAAGGTTTAATACATGAAGAAAGACAATATCCAAATTATCATAAATCTGTCCGTATGCTGTTTCAGTACAGAGACATCCATGAGGCCTCCATGGATCTGCAGTGTTGTAGTTACTGGATTACTGTTTTTATTCCTTAATGGGGTGGACCTCAGGGTCGAGTTTTATTATATGTGTCTTTAAAATGTAGAGCTGAAGTTTCAGAGAGGGAGGTTGAGAGGTGACCTGAGTCAGAGTGGGACATTAACCTTCTGACCTCTGAAAATGATGGCTCTCAGGCACCACTGCCTTACAGAAGGGAGGCCATTTGGTCCAGGAAGGGAGACAAGATGGCTCCCTGCTGTTACATTTTAAGCTCTGAAAAGTTAAACTTAGGCTCGCCTTTGTCCTCTCACCTACCAAGGTCACACCACATCAGAGACTACCTTTAGGAGCCTCTATCTCCTCTTCTGGGAACCTAGTGCTTTCCTTCAGGTCCTCATGGTCATTGGTTTTCACAAGCTGTCTCACTCATCTGTGACTTAATAACGTCTGCTCTTTGTACCTGTTCAGAGCCCTGTGATTTTTGTATGATACAGTCTTCTAAGGGAAATGATCAATACAAATTCTGTTGATATTATTTATTTGTTGGTGAAACAAAAACAAACAAACTGAGACCCAGACCTGGTGGATTGCTATGTTACATAATTAGTCAGTGGCAGAGTTAGAATTCAAACTGCAATCAATTAACTGGTCTTTAAATGAGCAAATTTGGCCCAGCCATTCTTAGTCATTCTGAGAAAACTACGTGTCCAGGGTTAGACAGGTTTTAGTTACATAAACCCTTACAGGTACTCTAAAATGCATTGGAGAAGGTAGGGCTTTTGATAAGATGAAAAATACTGAGGAGCGGAAAGAAAATACTGGGTCACTGCTGCTTTTCCTGTCTGGATTGCAATAAATGGAAGTGGCATTGGGAAAATACCCTTCTGACAGATACTTTGAGGCTTACGTTTCAGCCTCCAGAAGTAATTGTGCTGTGTGGTCTTGGCAACTCCTACAATCTTTTTGGTCCTTTTTAAAACAAAGGCTGAGAATAGGTAATCTTGGAGCAAATTTGAAGGCATTGTAGACCTAGAACTTGGAAAGACACAGTCCCGTTGCAGCAACCAGAGTGAGCCCAGACCTGGAGGCATGACAGGCGGTGACAAGATTTTTCAGGGACAGCAAATAGGCCACCCTGGCTAAGGATGATTTATGTTGGCCAGGTTTAATGCAATAGGGCTAATGGTTATTTTCTTCACATGAAAAAATATGCCTATCAGGATCGAGAAAAGAATGTTCCCTCATAGTTAGCTATTGCTTAGGGGTACTAGAAAATGACATTGACTTTTGATATCTTTTAAGCTTTGAACACTTTACAACATTCAATTAGAGCAGTTCTGGTTATTACTTATGAATGTGCATATGATAGCATGCCCAAGACCTGGAGAAGAGCAAGCCAGATGAAATACAGGCATGGAGGAGAGAGGTGGTCATGAAGCCCCATCCCAACCTGGGGAGCTATTAGCAACTGATGGTTGCTCAGAGAGGGAGAGTCAGGTTTTGTCATGGATGCAGCCTGTATAAAGGTACCCATGATTTAGTAGATGGCCCTATACCCATATGTATTGCTTCATAAGTAGACTCAATAGATTTAAAAACAAACAAACACAAAATTGGAAGGGAATTGTGTGTGTGTGTGTGTGTGTGTGTGTGTGTGTGTGTGTGAAGGAGGGAAGGGAATGGGGACACACTTGATTCAAAAAACATTATAGCATGTGTGCATTTCTCAACATAAGAATTCCAGTGTCTTACCTGAAGAAGCATATGGTTAGTGGTGGGATTTCAGGCATCAGCAGTGAGTGAGTAGAAGAAACAGTTTGGACAAGAGCTTTCTGGGTAGTCTTCAAGGGATACTTGACATCTGTTTATTATGTTCTCATTGATGCATCCTCAAGGGCAGACACTTTACAGTTCCATTTCACTCCTAGTTCTTTCTGATTAGTTAGAGAAGGCAGCTTTGAAAAAAGGAGCTGAACCATGAGGCAGACACATTGCAGGTCTGCTACTCCTAACTATGAAGCCTTGCCCATGGAGTTACCAACACCTAACCCTTGTATTTCTTTATGAAAATAGGTAGAATGATATCTACTCTGTCTGTGTCACAAAATACTCTTATGGAACAAGTGAAAGAATCTGTGTGAGTGTGTTTTATTATGGAAAAAATGTTATAGATAGCAGGAGTGGTTCTTGTCCAAACCCCTCAGTCCCACGGATCTTTAGTCTCCAGTGAGCTCATGCAGCTACATTCACCCTATAAAACCACAGCGTTTTTCTTGGGCACCCAACACCCACATTGCAGAGTCCCATATACCCAGAGTGTACCGCTTTGAGTATGACAGCCAGCTTGGAATTGCGTTAGCAGAGCAGGTACTGTGAACAAGCCTGGGGCTGTGGAATTTTTTAAAAGGGACCCAACACCAACATCTCTGAAATAAATTGATTTGGTTGAAACTTTTCCAAAGAAATTACCTTAATTCTGAGACTAAATATGTGGCGTTCCAGCCCAAATGGACTTTCTTGGCCAACCCTCGGAGAAGTAAACATCGTAGTTTAACACGGAAAGGGTGGTAGAACTTGTAGTTTCAGCTCGCTGATGTCACTCCTTGCTTTCTGAGCCAAAGAGCCAAAGAACAAGAAAATCCAACACTTCCTCCAAGAATGAAGGCATGGGATGGCAACGATACAAATATGTTTGTGGTTTCTATATATTTTCTCTTAAAGAAAAAAATTAGGATTTGAAGAGGAACCATTTTTCAGGATCTTGACAGATGCATGTGCTCTTCTTGGAGCGAATCCCACCTGGGATTCTTGGCTGTCTGGTCACAAAAAGCTGTCTTTTTTTATTCCTGATTTAAAAATAAGAGGATCACAGAGGGTCTAAGCCAGGGAATAAGTTGTGCTAAACCTGATTTTCAAAGTTGGGTCATGGATAAGATCTTGGAATCTGGGTACAGTTGAGAATTATGATGAGAGGAGAATTTGCATTTTATTGATGCAGAAGTGAGAAGAATCGAGATTTAGAGCATGCTAACATCCCCTTGAGCAACAGGTCTCCACGAACAAGGTTCTACTAGAATGAAACTATTTTTGGCACCATACCTTTCTTTATTGTATTAGAGAAGGTTTCTCCTTGATAACAGTGATATATTTTGGGGAACATGTTGTAGTCCTGAGATCTCACATTGCTTGGCAGTGGAGTGTATTCATAATTTAATGATAGGGGAGGGACACATCATGTCATTCAATGAAGTGGCTTACTGACAACTTCAAATGACATCTAACGGAGTCAAGTATTCCAAGGCCTTCTCCTGGGAAAGCAAATAAAAGGTTAGGTTTTCAAATGTGCTTGTAGATTGCTATTTTGACCTATCTCTTGGAAATTTCCAATGTGCGTGCAAAATCCTTGGGTGGATTAAATTTGATTCCATCAACCTGAGTGAGATGTCTAATCCCTGCCAGAGATACCTCACATCCACAGAGAAGACTGCCTCCCATTTCCTCTCTAGTATACCCTCAGGGCCCCAGAGCCCAGTGAGTAATGAATTAGCATGGACCAGTTGAGTGGAGATGATTACATTTTACACTGGTGGTAGAATAGGCATGGATGTAGAGAACGGACAATCAATCTTCCTGGAGTGAAGAGAGGAACAAGGTCAAAGAAAGCTAAAGAAAGCTTCAAAGCTGATATTTGATCTGAATCTTAAAGCAAAAACACATTTTACAGCAAAGGAGATCATCCATTTTCTTTCTACTTGACTTTCAAGTTGTGTAGTTCTAGCATAGCAAAGGGGAGATACTAATATGCATTTAAAATACCCACATTTCCTTGAAGTAGTAGGTGACCCTTGGGTGTGGTAGGGCTCTGGGGTGCCTTACTTTGTGTTGTAGGGACTGCTGTCTCTGCCTCTGGGCTGAGCTTCAAGCTCCACCCCCATGGCTGGAACTCCACTCTTAGGAGCCATCTCACCTGATTTCCTACACTGCCCTGTCATGGGTCCTGAGGACACGCTGTTGTACTTGGCCTTCCTCCACCCCCAGGGTATGCAATTACTCAGAAACTCCCAGCTGTTCCCAAGCCCCACACTGAGTTCCCAAACAAAACCTGTGAAAACAGCTGTGATGGCAACTCAGGCCACTGCTGGCAAGTGCATGGGTGTAGAGCACACCAGCAGGCTCTTGAGGTCCAGCTGCTGCAGATGTGAATGGAGCCTGGATGGACACTGTGTTTGGGGACATATCCAGGAAAATCTCCCTGGAAAGTCAGAGGTTCCATGTTGCTTTTCTGACTCCATCCAAATCAAACGGAGCCGAATGTCTTATGTCCCCTTCTTTCCGGCTTAGGCTCATGTCTCTGCAACCATGAGTCAGGAGGAAAGCTCTCTGGGGACATGCCTCACCCAGGTGAAGTCAATATGCTGATCACCTTTTGGTATGGAGACCACCGTTGTCTATGTAAGCTCTTCCTGTCTTCCTGTCCCCTGGTCCAGTCATCCCTGCCTTTGAACCTGCCTATGATCTCTGTCTGCAAACTTGTCACCTCCATGCTTTCACCCATCTTCAGCTCTTGCCTTGCTGTTGGCACAGTTGCTTTTTCTTTCTTACTGTGTTGCTTTCATCCTTCAGAATTATCCCACTGCTGCCATATTTTTCTAAGGTGAATATACTTAGTAACATGATTCCCTTGCACAAAACCTGAGGCCCATGTGCTCACCTTAAGATGCCCTGTTACCTTCTCCTTACACTAAGACCATCTTTGAGGGACCTGGTGCTAAGGCAACTGGGGGCAATTTAAACATATGTTCCCCACTCATAATTTGGGGAGCTACCCCACTGGGACCTATAATCCCCCACCTACCTGTGCTGGAACCTGCATCTAGGTTTGCCAGGTAGGTATTAACAGAGCCAGTCTCTAAGGAAGGGGTGCACCTTCTCTTTTACCCCTTACTTTCTGCTGGAACCTGTAGCTTTGATTTCCTCCTCAATATGGGGGCAACTTGTGTTAGTGTGAGATATATTGATTGCACTCTGACATTCCGAGACTGCCCAAAAGAGATACCCTGAATCAGAGGGTGGAGCCAATGACTAGCTGACCAGAACTGGCCATAGAAAAGCCAGCGATTTGGATAGAGAAGATGCACAGGACAGAAAGGGTGGGGACTAGAATTTGGGCTCTCTTGGTTCTGGGACAGAGAAGAGACATGTATCTTGTAGTGTCTCAGGCCAAAAAGCAACTCAGTCTTTCTGAGCTAGCCGGTTTTCACCAGAGCCTTTGACCTCTGAGTCTTATTGATAAATAGAAGAATGGAGATTTAATTTAAACCCACCAGGAACTGCCACACTGAGTGGTCAGTGGGATGCTGACTAAGAGGATATGGGGGGCAGATGATAATGAAAATATCAGTAGATTCATGTGTAAATGATAAGCCAACAGAAAAATATCATGACGGAGTGAGTGAATGCGGGCTCCATAAATGTCAGTTAGACTAAAGCACTTTGTGATGAAAAGTGATTTTGTTGTTTGATTTTGTGATGGGGAAGTATTTAGTGCTTATTATCTTAAACCATTGGAAAATTGGGACTTCGGTTTTTTAATTTGATTTAAATTTTTAATGTTTTTAAAAATTAAAAAATTCATATATGAACACTATATTTACATCATTCCTGCTCCCTATTTACCCCTCCAACTCCTCCTATGTCTCCACTCTCAAATCCATGACCTCATCTTTAATTTCCATTCTTACACACATACACACACACACACACACACACACACACAAAGAGAGAGAGAGAGAGAGAGAGAGAGAGAGAGAGAGAGAGAAAACACATACATACATAAACACACTGAGTCTATTTAGTATTGTGCCTATGTACATCTATTTAGGGCTGACAACTTCAGATTGGATAACCCATGAGTGTACTTTTCCCTATAGAGGTCTGATTTTCTATCTAAGGATAGGACCTGGTGTGCAATTTTTCCCATCCCTGTTGGTGTTTCAACTGGTATTGTCATTATGCCTGTTTAGGCAACCATCTTATTGAGATTATGTGAGCAACTTCCCTATCATATGTTACCTGGCTCTCTTAGGATTTAATCGCTTTATCCACTTTAGTTTTCATGACTCTCATTGGTGGCTGCTATGTCTAAGGCACACTATTCTCCTTACACACTGTGTCCCCACCTGGGTGCATTCCACCAACTCTGCTTCCAGGCCTTCATCCTCAACTTTGGAACACGGCTACTGATGATTTATTTGCCTACGATCCAGGAGATGGTCCTTCCTGTGTGACTACGGGCATTATCAATTGAACTCATGAGGTTATCAATGACATTAAAAAATAAAAGAGGACACAGAGACAGGAAAGAGATAGGGTGGGGAGAACTAGAGGAAGTTGAAAGGAGGAAGTGGTGAGTGGATATAGTCAAAATACCTTGTACAAATCTATGAAATTTTCAAAGAATAAATAATTAATTTTCTCATTCATTTTAGTTCTTTGACAAGATCATACAATGTATTTTGATCATATTCACCTCATCCCCAGCTACTCCAAGATATATTCCCCCTTCCTTAACCACCCAACTTTATTATTATTATTATTATTATTATTATTATTATTACTATTATTATTATACCCATCAAGTCTAATTTGACTGCCCACACTATTTTTGAATGTGTGACCTTCCGTTTGAGTATGGTCTGCCTACCAAGGGCCACACCCTTCAACAAAACTCCCTCTCCCAGAAACTGTCATTTGCCAATAGTTCTTGAGCTAGAGGTGAGTCTTGATGACCACAACCCTTCTTTATTCTGGGACTTAGTCTAGGTTGAACTTGTGCAGGTCGTGCACACACTGTAACTACAAATAGTGTATTTGTATCTATTCAACTTCCAACCTGTGCCAGCAAAAAACACTTTCTTTGTAGTCATTCACAACCACTGACTCTTACAGTCTTTCTTCCCCACTTCTAAAGTGATCCCAGAGCCTTGGAGGAGGAGGGGATGCAATATAGATGCCTTTTAAAATTCTGCATTTTGTAGTCCCTCATTCTTTATGCCCTAACCAGTCATATAGTGGGATCTCTGTGATTGCTTTCTGTTGTGAAAAGCATTTCTTCTGAGGAGGCTTGAGAGATGCACTAGTCCGTGGATATAACAATAAACTGATAGAATTTGGTTTAATATATGTTTCATTAGCAGAATAATGTTAGCAGGTCCCTCTAGGGCCTATGGCCTATCTAGCCATAGATTCTTGACCCCTATAGCAATGCCATGTAAGGGTTTTATTTTGTAGAATGAGCCTTAAATCCAACCAGAAAATGGTTGTTTACTTCCATGTTTTTTTGTGCCACTATTGTGCTAGCAGGCATCCTTTTGCCAGGCTGGTCAGTATCATAGTTCTCTAGGTTCATACCCAGATAAAATCAATCTAATTTTCTCCTCCAGCAGTGTGCATGGCACCTTCCAACAGTATGAAAACTAGTCATTAAGGGGAAGTTTTCAGATACCAACTTGACTTCTCCCTGTTCTATGATTCAATATATAGAATTAAGAAACATAGTCCTACCATAAATTTCTGGAGGGTTACCAAGAGAGAGGCTGACAGTTTTAGTTAGAAGACTCTGTGTAGGTTGCTCTCTTCTTAGAACCTCTGTCTCCTCATCTATACATTGGAAAGTGAGGGTGTCATCTTGCCACAATGATAACAGCCATTAAAAAAGAAGTGAACACACAGCATACCTGGCATAGTTCAGATTCCTGTAGTGAAGTTAGTTCTTCCCAGGGGAGCTTTTTCATTTTCTTGTCACTTGTTTCTTGCTTGGAATCCTCTTCACCACAGCCCCTGCTGAGCCTATTCATTTATTTACTTCTTTAATTTTCCAGGACTGGGGATCAAATGCGGGTTCCCACACATGCTAGGCAATACTAGCTCTACTACTGAGCTACACCCTAGCCCTTTGGCATGAGCTTTGACACAGTGCTACTTGAACCGTGGTTTGTGGTCTGCACTCCTTCTACAGGGCAGGTGTAGAAATGAAGTAAACATTCCTGTGATCCTGCCCTAGAAGTGTAATAAACATGTGGCCAGTACAGGGCTTCTGTGGCCTGCTTTAAAAGGTTTCCAGGAGGAGCACCGGGAAGGGTGGGTGGTGGGCAAGTCATATTCAAAATCAGTGACAGGTATAGGGGGGGAGGTTTGCTATACAATTTATTTGACTCATGTGGCTATTTGAATATATCCATAAGTAGTACTGAAAATGCCTGTATAAACTTCTCTAAGAAACAGCTGTTTTCCTCCAAGAAAAAGATCCTAACTTTTGGGGGATCTTTTTTTTTCTTGTGTATTTTGCTCCTATTGCCCTATTTCTTTCAGCAGTGAAGCTGTATGATAGTTTATCATTTTTAATGTGTATGTATGAGTATGTGTGTGTATATATGTCTAATCCTATGCGCATACACAGTGATCTCTTCTTACTTATGTGTCTTCATAGGCATTTTCTAAGTGGACACTTGAAAGCACAAATGATACCCACGTCCTCTAGATGTGATGTTTGCTTTATATATACACTCCAATTGTGAACTTTATAAATTATGCACAGTAAGAGATTAACAGTAATAGATGATGGCAAGAAAGAATAGTCATAAATATACAGTCCCATGAAAGTTACTGAAGACGCATGAGGTGTTTATCTTAAAACTTTCCATTGAATGCATTCTGTCTATGGTTGACCATGGATAACTGAAACCCTGAAAAGTACAGCTGAGTATGTACATGGGTACTACCACATAAATATACACACTACACATAGTACACATACATATATGTGTTGCATATAATTTGCGAAGGGAATCTAAACTCCCTGAGGAGTTAAATTAATCCTGTTTGTTGCATACAAACTTCACATAGGCAGGATGGTGTTCAGATATATTATCTTGTGATTGATTTAGATCAGGCTTTCCAGCTGGCCCAGTGATGATGTCCCTGTTAAAACCTGATTCCTTGTGTTCTTCCTTGGAGATTGAGTTGCTAGTCTAGGGTGGAAAACAACATATAGATCTGCCAAGAAATCACCATTCTTAGGAGTCAGAAGAGCAGCTTGGTTTTTTAACAATGTCCTCTGTTAAAATGTTAAAATATACATTTAAGAAGGAAAGTAAACTTAACCATTTCCTGAGGTTTTCAGACCTACATCCCAACTTCTATCACTCAACTTTTCACCCAAGACAGAAAAGGAAAACTTGGAATTGGAATGGAAAAGTGATCAGTGGGGGTGGTCTCTGAGAAACAGGGGCCAAGCAAGGTGAGACACTTCTGGATTTTTAATTGACATTGATTCTGTCTGTTTACTATGTCTATGGACCCTGAAAAGTGCCTTCAAAACTCATTCATTTAAACAAATTTTAATATGATTGAGATTCTGTATTAATACAATATGGATTATGTATCCACAAAAAGATCTGCAGCTTAAAAAACAGGCATGTGAAGGAGTTGATTAATCATAGAAATGACAGACATGATGGGCTCCAAACATTGGTTGCCTGTATGCCAATATGATGATAAGTTTTACAGCTCACTCGTAGGATAAACAAAGGAACCATAGGAACCTAGAGGTTAAGTCATAATACTTCCAAGGCTCAAACACTCGGTAAACAGCAAATCAGCCATTTAAATCTAAGTCATCTTGGTCTCAAAGACCATATTTCCATGGTGTCATTTTGCTTCTTTGTCTACACAGTACCCTGCTAAAGTCAGTGGATGTATACAGTGTTCACATGTGATATACATTATACATGTAGGTAAAATAATGGAGTTCCATAGGGGTAGGTTCTGATTGTTCTTTTTAAATTACATTTTAGAATTATTTTTATTGTTTTCCTGCAGTCTATTTTGATCTTATTCTTTCCCCTGCCCACAAGTCCTTCCAGGTCTCTCATTTTTTCTTGCTTCAGTATTGGAAGGCAAAATATTCAGGGCAGAATATAGGGGATTTAGGAGAATATTCCAGAAAAAATATAAAGAGAATGAGTTAAAGACAGGAAAAACAAAACAAACGATGCAGAGGAAGAGTAAATGATTGGAGCTGTTAACCACAGGGAGGAAGGGGCTGAAAGCAGCCCTTTACATGGCCTTTCAGGTTTATGAAGCGAGACAAGAGTAGCAGGAGGGGGATGCACAGCGGGAAGAGCCTGTGGAAGCTTGGGTAATCATCACGACAGTGGCCAGGAACTTACCACACCAAAGGCTGTGTGTCTGTGGACTGGTTGACTATGGGGTTTGGGATGGTAACCAATGCTGACTGCTGAGAAATGCAGTGGAGGAAGGCACTGCAAAACTCACCTACGGCTCAGTTCACAATGCCTTGTTCTTCTGCCTGCCTTGTGCGTCTGTCATCTGGTATCCTACCAGTCTGTTTTCCACAGCGTCGGTCTTGTCCATCACAACAACTGGAAATACCATTATCTGAACAGAACTATATTTCTGCAGAGTCCCAAGTCTCAGTGGATAATCTGACATCATAGACCATGATGGATCATCTCAGACCATATGCCCTGAAAGACACACATACCATAGTTAAGCCAAAGATTATGTCACACACGCTCTGGTCTCTCCATTGAAACCACTGTCCGCCAGTAGTTTGGGCTCCAAATGAAAGTGCAGAAGGCAGGAGAAAGCCAGTACTGATGCTCTATATTGGGAGCATGGGGTTACCTCACTAGTCGGCAATGGCCAGGCATGAGTTGGCAGGAAGATCCCCCTCTCCATGTCCGGCTCTTACTCAGCCTTTCTGTTTAGTTTTATGCACTTTCTCTTCCCCCCATCCTATTTCTTTTGCAATTAAGCAGATATTGAATTTGTTCATTTTTAACTGGCATGACCAGTTAAATAAGGCATATCATTTTAATTAAAGTTGTCACACATACAAGATACAAATAAATAGAATAAGAAAATAACTTCCTGGGGAAGAACACAACCATTGGAATATAAAAGGTTTCATACTTAGTAGAATCTTTGCTCAAACCCCTCACAGTCCTTAATGTCTAGGCTATGCTACACTTTGGAATCTTTTTTAGCCTCAGAAATATGTTTATGTCACATAAGGAACTTGCAAATTGACTTTCAAAGACTATACATGACTACATAGCATTTCTGATTTTTTTTCCCAAAACTATCTATTGGGGGACATGCCTTCAGCTGACAGACTTCTCTGGGTTAATATTTTTAACTCAGAGATTGTGCCTGTTGATGTTAAGCCATGTGTCAAAGCCTCCTATAAGAATCATGAACCTTCTAGTTATAACACCTTTAGTCTTTATACATTTTCCAAAGTGTCCTGAACTCAAATCACTGGCTCAAAGACCACCTACCTTCATTCTCCTACCATGGCATATTCCCATCTGCCTTTTCCTCAGGCCTTGGGGAGAGCCTTGAATCCCAGAGGCATGGAGTAGGTATTTTGTGAAACCTAACAGTTATTTCATTTATTGAGAAGTAGGACAACAACGGGGGACCCGGCTCCCTACTACCTCCAGTGGAGAGGATCCCAGTGATAGAATGAGTGTCTGGAGCTGGATGCCAGCTGTGACCCCACCTGTCCCCCCTGAACTATGCACATCAGCCTCCAAAGGAACCTGAAACTTCCGAAAGCAGAAATGGAGGTGATCACACTGCTGGTTCAGGGCAATGACTGTCATGGACACATATTTCAACATTCAAGGATGTCCAGGTAGACGGAGATATGCTAATAGTTTCCAGAGAGGTGGGGAAACTGCTGGTTCAATGATTGTCCCCATCAGGCTGGGGGATAATGAAAAGTCTCTTTCTTTGGCTCAAATAGCTTCCTCCTGTTGGTTGACTTTTTTTTTTCTTTCCAGAAGAGAAGTGTTTTACTTATTGAATTATATAAAGCTGAAGTTACTGGATTTGTTATAGAAGAGGTTTGTTATTCCTAATTTACTGTTTGTGCTTTGCTTCAGGACAATTTTATTGTACAAATCTATCATTATGAACTGAACTTTAAAATGCAAAAGACTTAAGTGGAATTTTAAATATTTCCTATAATTATTTCACAATAGCATATGGATTAACAAATAACCCAGAGTAGAGGACAAGAGCAGAGATGTTTATGGGGGGGGGGATAGTACAAATGAAATATGGTTTGGCCAGGTTTAATACACACAGAATATACTTTAATACTTTCATATGGTCTGAATAATATCCCCATATTGATTTTTTCCTTGTTTCTACCAACTCCGCAGCAAATGTACGACAATGGCTCCTTGATTTATTGCGAGTGTAGCAATGGGTTTATAACGGCATGAATCATGCCGATTGCTCAATTCACCACATGCCTTAATAAAAGTTTCACTTTAATAAAACTGAGCTAAGGCAAATATGCCTAGAGGCTGGTCTGACATTCCTTATACATTACCCTGCCTCAGGAAATTATTGCCATATATTTTACAGCAGCTACAGTAGGCTAGGGGATCAGGATTAAAATCTACTAACTACCGTGATATTTAACAGAACTCCTGTGTTCCCAGTTAACCCTCACAGGTACAAAATGGACAGCTAGCTATTAAGAGATAGCCCAGTGGAGAGGTGAGCTGGACTGGGAGCCAGGCAGCAGGGATCAGATCTGACCCTTGTCACACCACACATGCCCCTGAAGCTCTCTGTGCAATGGAGGTGGAAGAGCACCTCCTGTTTCCTTCCCAAGTGAGAGTCAGCATCATAGGAGAAAAAGAAGGCAGCAGATAGCAGGCAGTGGTGCCATCTGCAGAAACAGGCTGACTCTTTGGCAGGACTAAGCATCCTAGTTGTTAGCAACAGCTTATTTGCATGAAGAACGGGTACAAATCTCTTTAAAGAAGTCTCAGGGCTCAGGGATGAAAGGCCAGTCCTTCTAGAAACTCCAGACTGGTTTTCATCTTCTCTAGTAAGAGCTGGAAATGCACAACCATGCCGGCATTGTTTTGAAAAAAATCTAAGCCAGAGTGTGAGAAGGCAGGCCATGAACTGAGGGCTGCCGTTCGAACGACTTATCACCTGCTGGCTATTTCTCTGGAAGAAATTATGATTAGATGATACTGTTCTGTGGGGACTAGTGCAGTGTTTATTAGTCCCTAAGACCAAGCAAGCCTCTATGGATTTTCTAGCCAATGTGAATCATTTAGGCCTTACTGAGGAGTGTTACATACACTAAGAAAGTGGCTTGATCCTCTGGTAAATCAGGCATCTGTGTTACCAGAGACAAGCTGCAAAATCTCTCTGGGCTTTTGCTTCTTAGTCTGTCAAATTTACTGAAGTGGAAAATGCAAAATGCTTGGGCACATAATAGACAGTTAGAGATGGATTCTCTGTCCCCACTCACATCTATTTTGTAATAATTTGCCAGCATCTCCATGATTGGACTGCCTCCCTCACGTAGCTCTCTCCTGGTCTTGCACCAGCTCTCGGCTCTAATTTTCCCTAGGTAACAGTTCAATAGGAAAGGGCTTGGTCTGCCCAGCATCCTATACTAGTTTCATGGACTTCTTTCTGCTATGACAGCATCTTCCTCACATTTAACTGCTACTCAAGCACTCTATATACAAATGAGAATTTGTTCCCCCATCTCCAGCTAGAGCCTTGAAGGAATTTTTGTTTTCCTACGTTTTGTTCCTCTTGTGTTAAATTTTGTGTCTGGTACCTGGGAAAGATGGTCAATAGTGAACAAATGACTGTGTGGGCAAATGCTAACTAAATCAATGGGTCCATGCTTTGGAGCCAGATCAAATCTCAAAGACTGTTTTCACAGAGGTGAACTTGATCATATGTTTTACAAATGAGGGAAGACTATGGAGAAACTGATGAGCCAAAACTTAATTGGCAACCTAAAGCTATTGCTTCTAAGGTTGAATACTGCAGTGATACCTGACAGATCGTTATGGACCATTATGTACTAGACAGTCTGCTTATCACTCTGCCTGCCTCACATACTTAGACAACTCAGTGACATAAAAAGCACCATCCTCCCCATATTCCAACCTAATACACTTGAGTCCAGAGACATGAAATAACCCTACCAAAGCTATGCAACTCACAACAGCCATGCTACCACATGAATATGAGTCAGTTCTATATTTTCTGTAAATCCCCGATGAGTGCCCAGACTACTGGAGTCCACAAAAGAGAAATACTTCCATGAGAAACGTATGGTCTTAGAGTGAACCAAGCTTACCGTGAACAGTCTGGTTGAGCCTGACTTCCCCCTGGTCCATGCTTTGAGGTTTGCCATATTTTCCTCACTTTCACCCAACAGAAGCAGTTGAAATAAAAGCCACCATCATCAAGCAGGAACCTGGTTGTCAAGAGAAATGAAATGTCCAGGGGCCGCTTCAGTCATACCATTCATTAATGGGTTTATCGGGAACTCTCTTGACATTGTCTAACGATGACATTTACAAAAATCCCAAATTTGAAAATAAATAAGTTGGCTGACATACAGACATTTTACATATGAGTTTAATAAAATAGATCTTTTTTTCTGTTTGAAATCTTTGGTAATCTCTGAAATATATCAACTGCAACCCAGGAACATTGTATCCCAAGTCGTGATTCATGAAATGAAACGGAAATGTATTATGTAATTCAATTGGGAGAGTCCAGCCCAGAGCTCATTAAGGCCGTTGCTGGTGATGTGGCCTGCACTCGGCAGGCTCTGTGGTTTGGGCACGCTTTTCTCAGGCCTAACCTCCCCTTCCTCTGAGGACATTTTAACTAAATATCGTCACCCTTTTCAAAACAGCATTCTTGAGAATTTGCCCACAGACTAGGATAATTCACAGGAAATCTTAAGAGAAATTGCGATTCTTTTCCTCTCACCTCCAACTTTACCATTACCCCATCTCAATGAGTCAGGTACAGAACTGATGCAATCCTTCCAGTATCCTCACCACTGGGTTCCAGGTACAGCTGCTCATCGGCAGGTAAACACATTGTGCCATTTAAGGAGACAGGAGCCCCAGGAAATGAAGCAATTTCTCCAGCGTCTAAGGCTCTAATGCAAGGACTACACATAGCTCTCAAATCTCTCCTGTTTTTCCCAATTTCTTTTTTCTTTTCTTTCCAGTTCATCACTAAGACAGAGATTGTAGGCACAGCACAGATTTTCCTCTCTATGATGACTTCCATGAGAACAAATAAGGTAGCGGGGGAACACAATTATATAAAACACTTTTCCATTTGCCCTATTTCTGCCTCTCAAGTTTCTCTTTCTCTGTCCCTTTTCTTCCTTCCCTCCCTCCCTCCTTTCTCTGTTTCTCCATGTGAGAGTGTTTATATTTCTTACCAACCTTTAGCAAGTTTATGTTTGGCTTTTTTTTTCATTGAGAGTTGTTCTGAGTAAAGAATGACAGCACATTGTGGTATTTTGCATTTCCTGAGGTCTAAAAATGATGTATTTTTCATTTGCTCATTGTCCATTTTAATGTATTTAAATAAATCTATTTTTAATTGACAAGAATTTGTGATGCTTATTGTGATACTTTGAAATATGTCGACGGGGGAGGGTAGGCTGTAGTTGGGATGTAAAATAAAAAGAAAGAAATATGTGGACCTTATGGAATGGCTTAATTGGACTAATTAGCATGTGCCTTTAGCTAACATAGTTAATTATGGAGAGACCATTTAAAATCTACTGCATTCAGTGATGTCCAAATCCTAATATGAAGTGTTAACTGTGGTCATTATGTTGGATGACAAGAGTTTTTGAGCAGACCTTCTATCTTGTTAATATTTCATCTCCTCTGATAAGTATGTACCCAAACCCCTTCCCTCCACACCTCTATTATGGTCTGGTTCTTATGTCCCCCCAATTCCCATGTGCTAATCTAAGGGTCAAAGTTAAACTGCAAGCCTCACTTGCCTAAGGAGAGATGGCTTCCTGGAATTCTGGAGGCTATTGTTTATTGGAGATAACAAACCACACGTTTTCACTCCCCTAAACAAATTTGTTTAACTCAATTGTACCTGATTTGCTAGACCCCATGTGGGTGGAAGGTTCACAGGCAGGAATTATGTCAGGATATATGCTTGCCCCTGATTGGCCTTATGGGGTTGCCTTTTTAAGTCTCTGCAAATGTAACTTGTTACCACATTTCTGAGAACCCAGGAATGGACCTTGCCAGAGTCCATCACTGTGGCCAGTATTTAGTTAAAGTTTGCTTCAAATTTGGCTCAACAATAGTGGAACTGGTCTTTCTCTTGCAAATCTCAAGTTTAACACTAAAGGTTTGGATGTCCTCACCAAGGGGCAGAGGAACCTTTAAAATGAAGACAGCAGTAAAAGGAAGTGAGGGGATAGAGTGTGCCCTGTGGCAGATCCCAGGATTCAGGTCCCCTCTGTTGCTTTTGGTTCCTAGGGGACCTGTACTTAACAATGTACTCCTTCCAAGATGCTCACGCTTCACCATGATACCCAGAACAGCTGCTCGAGGACAGTTTGAAACCAGGAAACTTTTTTTTCTCCTTTTAAGCCCATTTTCTCAGATCTTTTATAACACAGTGGGGGAAAGCTGTATAACTCAGCTGAGAACCACAGCTCTTCCCTTAGCTGCAACAAGTTAAACTCTTTAGACTCCTCAAATAGACAAGATCACATAGCATTTGTCTTTCTGCACCTTGCCTACTCAGATTAATGGAATGATGCTTAAGGTCATTCCTTCTGCTGCAAAGGACAGGTACCCCACTGTGTATGCCTGGCACATCTGCTTTCTCCATTCACCTATCTATAGACACCTAGGTGGATTCCAAACCTTGGCTGTTGTGAATAATGCTGCAATGAAAGTGTCTCTTTGACATTCCAACTCCATGCATATTAGCCACATTTATGTCTTCTGTAGAGAAATATCCGTCTAGTCACTTGCCTGCTTTTACCTTGAGTTGTTTGGATTTGGCTGTTGATAAAAATTCTTCATGCATTCTAAATCCTCCAAAACAACCCTTTAGTCTTATCCCCAGCTCTGTAGGAAATCCCTTGAATTGAGTGAAAATGAATATACAGCACAGTCAAACATATGGGACACAGTGGAGGTGGTTCTAAGTACCTACATAGAAAATTGAGAGATCTCATGCTAGTAACTTAACAGAATGCTTCAAAGTTCTAGAACAAAAAGAAAGAAAAATAAAAGGAAATCACATTCAAAAGGAGTTGATGGTAAGATACAATGAAACTCAGGATTGAAATCAACAAAACAGAAACAAAAAAAAAATACAAAGAATCAATGAAGCAAAAAGTTGGTTCTTTGAGAAAATCAGTAGGATTGACAAACCCTTATCTAAACTAAATAAAAAGGCAGAAAAATAAATATGCAAATTAGCAAATTTAGAAATGGAAAGGGGGACATAGCAACAGACACCAAGAAAATCCCAAGAATCATAAGGATGTATCTTAAAAGTCTGTACTCCAACAAATTGGAAAAATTTCAAAGAAATGCATATTTTTGATAGGTACCACTTAACAAAATGGTAATCAAGATCAGATAAGCAATTTTAACAGACCTATAACCTCCAATGAAATAGAAGCAGGAATTAAAAGTCTCCCAACCTAAATAACCCAGGACCAGTTGGTTTTAGTGCAGAATTCTACCAGACTTTCAAAGAAGAGCTAATGCCAGTACTCCTCAAAGTATTCCACAAAATAGAAACAGAAGGAACATTGTCCAATTGATTTTATGAGGACATAGTTGCTCTGATACCCAAACCACATAGGACCCAACAAAGAAAGAAAATTGCAGATCAGTTTCTCTTATGAATATGGATGCAAAAGTACTCAATAAAATAGTTGCAAACTGAATCCAAGAACATATAAAAAAGATCATCCTCTATGATCAAGTAGGCTTCATCCCAGGATTTCTTAATGGCTCAACATACATAAACCCATAAATGTAATCCATCATATAAACAAACTGAGAAACAGCAAAAACTACATGATCATCTTATTAGATGCAGAAAGACCTTTGACACAATCCAACATCCCTTCATGATAAAAGTCCTGGAGAGATTAGGGGTACAAGGGACATACCTCAACATAATAAAGTCAATTTGCAGAAAGCCCATAGTTAACACCAACTTAAATGGAGAGAAACTGAAAGCAATTTCTCCAAATTCAGTACTTGAAATTTTAGCAATAAGACAAGTGAAGGAGATAAAAGAGATACAAATTGAAAAGAAGTTAAAGTAGCTTTATTTACAGGTGATATGGTAGCATCCATAAATGACTCTAAAATTTCCACCAGGAAATGCCTACAGCTGATAAACACTTTCAGCAAAGTAGCTGAATGTAAAATAAGCTCCCCCAAATCAGTAGTCCTCTGTGTACAAATGACTAATGACCAAGAAAGAATTCAGGGAAAGGAAACACTTTCACAATAACCTCAAATAATATAAAATACCTTTGGGCAACTTTAACAAAGCAAATAAAAGCCTTATGTGATTTGAAAGAAATTAAGGAATATGTCAAAAGAAGGAAAGATCTTCCATGTTCATGGATTTGTAGTAAATAATATAAAATAATATAGTAAAAATAGCCATCATACCAAAAGCAATATACAGACCCACTGCATTCCCAATCAAAATTATAACACAATTCTTCACAGACCTTGAAAGGACAATTTTCAACTTTATAAGGAAATGCATGTATGGGGACACACACACACACACACACACACACACACACACACACACACACAAAACCACCACCACCAACAACAAAAAAACAGGATTGCTGAAACAATCCTGAAAAACAAAAGAACTACTGGAGGTATCACTATCCCTAATTTCAAGTTGTACTACAGTGGTATAATAATAAAAGCAGCATGTTATTGGCAAAAAGCAGACATGTTGATTAACAGAATAGAATTGAAGATCCAGACATAAATCCATACACTAATGGACAACCAATTTTTTAAAAAGAAGCCAGAAATACACAGTAGAAAAAGACAGCATGTTCAACAGATGTTGCTGTTTAAACTGGATGACTCTATGTAGAAGAATCCAAATAGATCCATACTTATCACCCTGCACAAAACTCAACTCCAAACAGATCAAAGACCTCAACATAAAACCAGATATACCGAACCTGATAGAAGAGAAAGTGGGTAATATCCTTGAACTCATTGGCACAGGAAAATTCTTTCTGGACAGAACACTGTTAGCACAGGCACTAAGATCAAAAATCAATTAAATGGGACATCATGAAACTGAAAAGCTCCTGCATGGCAAAGGACACCGTCATTTGGACAAAGTGGCAGCTTACAGAAGGGACAAGATTTTTATCAACTCCACATCTGATAGAGAACTAATATCTAAAATATATAAAGAGCTCAAAAACCCCCTAGATATCAATAAAACAAATAATCCAGTTAAAAATGGGGTACATATCTAAACAGAGAATTCTTAAAAGGAAACTCAGATGGCTGAGAAACACTTAAAGAAATGTTCAAATATCCTTAGTCATCAGGGAAATGAAAATGAAATGTACTTAGAGATTTCATTTTGTATCTGACAGAATCACTACAACAAGGGACATGACAACTCATGGTGCCATTTCTTAGTGG